TCTGTTCAACAAGCTGGTACATAGTGTTACTGGAAATAAATCTATATCTTTTTACTTCATAAGTAAAAAATTGTTTTAGAATAAAGATAACGCAATAACAAAATTTATGTGACTACACGGAGTAGAGATTCCCGTAGAGCGATACAAGTGCGCTGAAAAAAATATGTGTTGGATAAAAGCGAACTGCAGTGCGAAACTGGTACTGGTAGGAAACGTCGCGGTAAAGATTAACTTCACAATGGCATTATGTTATTTTATTTATTTATACACTTGTAGGTTTTAGTTACACTAAGAATGTGCCTTTTACTAATTAAGTTTTCATCGCCAATTACCACCATGTGTACAAGAATCAACTATACATATTCATCTATACATACTTATGAATAAAATTAAAGTGTCTGTCTGTAATATTGAAATAGCTGGCTTCTATTAAGCTCGGGGGTTGTTTGCATGCTATTAAAACATCTATATCTTCTAAACTAATCTTCGGAACGGCTAAACTGATTAAAATGAAACTTCACAAACAGATATAGAGGAATATCAGGAGTGATCTTGACTATGTTTTATCCAAAAAACTTGGAAATATTTTTTTAAACGAAAAATTTATAAAAAAATATTATGTTTTATAATTTTTATCTTAAATCTAAATCACGCCGTATTAATAGATCCTACTCAGGCGATGCCGGCGCGCGTCGCTAGTTATAAATCAAATCAAATTTTAAAAATTAAAAAAACGCACATTGATGGACTGTGTGGATACTTGTGATAGTACTAGGCCTTAATCAAAAAATTATTATATTGCCATTGGTACTAAATAAGTCTGCAGAATTTATATTATTCATACGGCGGAATTAGTAAAAACTGAATTTATAAAATCTATTACATTTATACATACAAACATACAGTTAAAGCTTATATAAAAAGCATGTTAAAAAGACCAAATTTATACATTTACCCAATACAATGAAACCAAAATTACGCCAGAGTTACAAAATTGCACACAAACAATATCCAAAATTTTATCCAAATTCAGTCGTTTTCCGACATCCAATAAATGGAAAGGAAATAGCTTTTAGAAGATAGCTTTAATGAGATTTTAACTAACCTCAAAAGGATACCTTATAACGTTTATTCAAAGATAAGAAAAGAAAAGTCAGTAAATTCTTAAACTGTAGTTAACAATTTCGTTGGTGTCGAAGGGAATCGAACTCACTTTGCTCACGTAGTAAAACTTAAAGGCAAGTAACATTAGTCAAACAAAAAAATTGGGCATTGTTAATTTGTCGTGCAATTTTCTTTTTTTTTTATCAGATTTTTACATTTCATTCTAATGAAATTTTTTATACAATCATTGCTTATATTAACGCGAATAAAACATTAAATGTAACTAAGTTCAACTTTTTTAACTCGCGACTTTACATCTACTAGAGGCAAGCGTGTACAAGCTCGATAGTTAGTAAGGTCTCTCTTAAAAAGGAGAAACAAAAATATTTATAAAATCTAATATATAACCGACGTTTCGGGAAGAACATATTCGGATCGAACATATCAGGATCGGCTCAACCATCAACAGCAGATTCGCTATACCACTAATCCTCTCATTAGCTATTTAAATTAAAAAGAAACATCTTAATTTCGATAGAAAAGATGGCTAGTACCTATCTTCTTGAAGTCTCATAATTAATAAAATTAAATCCAAGCTCGACCCTACTACTGCAAAACATTTCCATGCGTGCTATAAAACACCTAATGCGTAGGGAATTAAAAAGTTATAATTAAACACGATAAAATCTGTAAAATAAGTCATATTAAATGAATTCATGATCATGAAATTTGCCATTATGAGTTACTCTCAACTTTTATGTTTAAATTTATTTTACAGTCATAAATCAACCTCTTTTAAACTCTCTCTTTAAGAGATGCGTTATGTGTGGATGTAAGATTTTTTGTAAATCAAGTTTTGTAGATCACAGTCTGACAAGGCGAAAAGTAAGTTGTTTCACAACTGGTGAAATTTTTATTACACGTATGAATGTTAAAGATTAATCGTTGTTGATAATGGGGATAATTATGCCATTCTTAAGCTTACATGAAGTAAATATCCATCACTTTTATGAGAAATTTTTCAGAAAAAATAAATTTAACAACCACATTATGTAACTTTTTTACACATTATGTAATTGCTTGCAAAGCTATTGACTGATGATCGTTAGTTTATTAAAAAGTTAAAAAAAATACAGAACAGCTTATACTTTACATGTAATTTTTATATATTTAAATTGCATTTAGGTTACTACTTTATAACTTCTATTAAAATAAGTTTTATTTGAAGATCCCAAAGAGTTTAATCACAGACATCTTTTTGGAGTCAAAGCAATAGAAAGTGAAGATAAAATAATAACGATTGCAGAAGCACCCACATGAGATGCTTAATTTATGTATACAGTATGTGAAACATAACAAAAAAGGAATATAAAAATCACAATAAATATAATAACGAAATGGGTATGTATTTATTATTTGTTTATTTATTCCACTTTACTAAGTAAAGACTTATCATTATGGTTATAGTTGATGAATAGACGCATCTTGTCAACAGTGGGTAATCAGTTTAAATAATTTTAATAATAAAGGAACGTTAACAAGTCAAATGCATTTTCCTTTATGTAAACACACACACACACACACACACACACACACACACACACACACACACACACACACACACACTCACATATATATATTATTATTTCGAGAATACTTTCACAGGGGTTGTGTTTATTTAATTAACTAGAATATTCTGGTTATTTCCCAGGCCAATGTAAATTTTTATGGCGCCTAATCATTCGTATTAAGGTTCTGAGAACTGTTCGTGGGTGTCGTAAGAGGCGACAGAGGGAAACTGAGACAGGGGATGGGCAGCAGCATGTTCATGATAACATCTTAAAATAATAAAAACTGTGGTTGCTAACCCGCTTGCCAAGTATAGCAACTGTGGCAAGTATCTACCCTATGAGGCCATCAATATCCTATATTGAGCATTGATCTTTTGATAGGATATAACCTTAACGGTAAGGTGATATAAAGAGATAATCAATAAAATACAAAAGAAAATTAACTACATATTATAGTTTTAAAAAATTTAACTTTTATTATTTATACTAAGGAATTCATTATGTAAATATCGAAATCATGAAATAGATTGGTAAAAGTTTAAAACCATTAGTTTGACTAGCTAGCGTAGCTTATATTCGATATTTTGGATATAGTCAATTATATACTATTAAAGAACAGTTGTCGGATCCTTAATACAAATGTAATCTATCAGTATCAAGAGAGACCCAGTTCCCGGTAAAGTATTCAGACACGTCTAAATTTATTCGAACTAGCTTCGCACTCGATTCTCTGACAATGAACTCTTATCGAATAAACAATCGATCACTCAACGCGACCTGGCGCTCGTCTCTCAACGCTCGCCGCGGCGGATCGTAAATCGATATTTACCGGCTTAAAGTACAACACTAGTTGTAGTAAGTTAGTCGAATTTAACGATCGTATTTGTAATTAGGAAATTTTAAGTTTAGAATCAACAAATGTAAAAGCAAGAAAAGGAAACTGGCTTTTTATCAACTTCTTACAACATTGATCTAGTTTTATTGTTGTTAATATCAAGGAGAGTAAATAGATTAATAATTATTAGTAGACATTTTCATTTTTACAGTTTCTAATACCGAATGCCTTGTTTCCAGTAAAAGGACCTTCAAGAAAAGAGCTTTCTCATTTCTAAAAGGCCGGCAATGCACCTGCAATTCCCCTGGTGTTGCGGTTGTTCATGGGCGGCGGTAATCACTTACCATCAGGTGAGCCGCATGCTCGTTTGCCCCCCTCTTCTATAAAAAAAGGGGTCTCCATTTCTCTAAACTATGTTACGCTGGTATTCATGACTTAACCCGCTCTTTGTATTTATTTTATTTGTTGTAAAGGAAATTCAATGAGGAATAAATAAATAAAAAATAAATTTAAAAAATCCAGGAATTAGTACTTATTTGTAGTGTTAAATAAACCATACACTGTATAGTAGTAATAGACGATAATATTTTATATCAATACGTGGCTTTTTATTTAAGACAACTCTCTAGCGTACCATTTCACCAATTTGTATAATTTCGTGTCTGTTTAAAAATATATATCTGGCGCGGTTCGTTTCAAATCGAAATCAGAATATTTTTTTTATTCAGGATACATCTAATTAAAAAATAACAAAGTAGTAGTACCCAATATAAAGGCAAAAAATGGCATTTTTTAATCTGAACAATATGTCTGAAAGACTGGAATTAAGTTGGTACAAGCTATTGCCATTAAATCTTGGAGATGGTCATCGGTAAGACGAGATCGAATTTTATTTTTAATGAAGTTCATCTTGAAAACGCTGCTTCACAAATATACGTTGATCCAATTTTTTTTAGTTCTAGTTATATATTACCATATACTAATTTTATCTAAAATTATCGACAAAGAACTTCCGAATTTTAGTGTTTTAAAACAGAAGAAAATTTAATTATACTTAGATTCTTATGGGTCCGCCCAAAATGGCTCGGCGGTCCCACATTTGGTGACATCTGCCCCAGTGGTTGGCATGTTAGTATTGTATTGTAGGGCAAAATTCATGGGCTTAGATAATAAAATAAAAAATAAAAAAAATTATTTAGAAATTTCAATGCTGGCCGTTTTAATTGTAACAGTACTCATTCGATAAATTTGTTCTTTCTATATCACAAAAAAACTGAAAAATCTTGAAGACCTTTAAGATTAAGTAAAACTAACATGGACAGACCCTTCTGGTCAAAATAATGTTTGTGTTCAAAATATATTAATTTGAAAACATACATTACTATGATGGTATATTTCATATGCATATCCTTAGCTCCTACGTATTCTTTAAATTGTTGTTATTCTGGTTTTAATTACGTTAATTGTTTTTAATCTGTTATTAATTACAGGGCGTCCGGCAGCGCAGTGATTCTAGACCCGCGCATGGTTTGCAAGAAAAATCGACGGACGCGGGGACGCTTGGCGCAGATTTGCAAGAACGAGACGGGTTTGTTGAAGGAAATTACCAAGGGCGTGACCCTAGGAGCCACAGAGTGCGCATATCAGTTTAGGAATCGAAGGTGGAACTGCACCACTCAGAGACGCAGTATGAGGAAAATACTGTTGAGAGGTTAGTATGCCTTATGGAAATCACTAATTTTAATATTTCTCATGGTTTATTTTGAATGTGTTTAACGACAAGACATTAACGGCCCTACTCAAAAAGTCGACGTTGATATAAGAAATGCTTAAAGTTGCTCTCTCTTTTCGCTAAAAGACAATAGAAAAAGACAGGTAAAGAGATATTTAATATTTAATTTAAGAATACGTATAAGCGATAATCAACGATTATAAGTAAGCCCGGATATGTCTTCTAAATAATGATTTTAATAGATTGTCAATTAAATAAATTATGTAACGCAAATTAGTTTGTCTGCTAAACTATAAACTGTACTAAGACAGAATAATTAATTATTAAATAATAAATAAATAAATATAACAGCGCGATAACTGTGCATTTAACTGTGGCGTTACGGAGTCGTGGGTTCGAATCGCGCACGATACAAGTATTTGTATAGCACACACATAATTAGTTTATCCGTGACGTATGTAAAATGCTTTATACAGGAGAAAATCATACTATGGGGATACTGTTTTTTTAATCCCAAATAATTTTAATGGAAAACCATTTTAATTACCACTTATTTAATTTTAACGGAATAAACGTTTCCTTAAAAAATATAGATTATACGCGTTTATTTGCGATCACTTGATTTTATTCTTATAGAAATTCCATAGCTACAATTCCATCATAGTCATCGCCATAACGATCCATATGAGAATCATCACATCCTCAGTTTTTACACAGACAGTTCCAGGAATGCACCTATGAATTTTTATCAGATTTGCGGAGTGACTATGCTTCTTATCACCAGTCTATCAAATTTCGATTTAGTAAGAAGTGATAAACAAACTTACAGTCCACCTGACCGTTACTGGCTACAGCAGTACATGGACACCTGCAACCAATTTCTACCATAAAAGGCTATTTAGATGACTTATCACCTCTTTGGAGTAAGACACAATTCCTCACATTCTATATATATATATATATATATATATATATATACTAGCTGTTCTCCGCGACTTCGCCCGCGTGTTATTTAGAGTTTTATTTTTTTACGCGGAACCCTTTTTCTAAAATAAAAGTAGCCTAAGTTACTCCTTGTGACATCAGCTATATGCTAGTGAAAATCCCATCACAATCGATCAGCGGTTTCGGAGATTAGCCGGAACAAACAGACAGACAGACAAACCGACAGACAAAAATTTTAAAAATTGTGTTTTCGTTATAAGTACCGTATATACATTTAGTAAAAAGCTGTTATTTTGACATTGCAAACAGACACTTCAATTTTATTTATACTTGTATGTATATTGTATATATATATATATATATATATATATATATATATATATATATATATATGATGAAATGTCATGGGAAACTTAGGGCATATACTAGTGAGATTTGTTATTTTAATAGCCATTCAGAGGGGAAACGCAGCCAGCGTTCTTGGTACGATACCGCGGGGAGTAGGACTATATGATAATTAAGTTTCTAGTTTTAGTTTTTTTATTATTATTATAGTTTTTAATATTGTATATTTCATTTAATAAGCCATAAACGGTTGACTGCTGAACACGGGTCTCTCCCAGGTTTAATACGCCTAGTTACACTTGTGGTTGAAATTTTACCAATTGTGTAGAAACTAGAACAATAACAATGCTGAGTATCTGCATAAGTTTGTTTTATACACTAAAAACACTGCTACTTGTTGTCAGAAATAGTGCGATAACTGTGTTGTACCTACCCATACGGACTCTTCGCAAAAAAGGATTTGGAATCTAAAATGGATTGGTTTATTTTATTAGTAAAATGATATTCTAATAATCGAACAGACTACAGAAAAACACATTATTGTTTAATTTAACAGAGTATAAAATTCCCCAAAACGCTTATAGAAGAAAACGCAAAAGTAAATTTAAGAATTGCCTTCGCGCGGCCATGCCTCCCGCTGTGTTGACCTTAATTTTCAATGCTAACGGATAACAAATTATATGATAATATTATAACACATACCTATATTCATAAAAGCGCGAGTTTGTCCTCTTAAAATTATTTATTGTATCAAATATTCTATTTACGAGCAATCAACACAAAAGTTCAACAATCAATAGATTTATCGGAATTGCCTCGATGAGTTCATCAACATTTAGGATGTCGTAAAATGTGGGCAGGGGTTTGCTACCTGCCAGGTTTATTAGTCCATGCACAAAAGAATCCAAAACATGTTAAATTGCACAGATGGATATCGGAGCCTAATTCGATTAGCCCAAAAGAGTTGATTTTTATGCGACCGCTCGTTTATCTAAATGCGCACTTTATAGAGATGGGATTCTAAAATACATATCGATGTTTTGACAATTAGAAGAATAAATAATTTAAAATATTTTAAACTATTTACCATGTAGGTCAGACGGTTGTTGAGGGCAACATTAATACTCTTGCACTCGCACTGGTAGAGCTATGGCCTATCATGAGTAGTAGCATATGTGTTCCATGACGTGTTTGTGGTCGCAAAAATCTAATTTCTTAGTTAGCAAAAAGACATTGGTACATCCCATTTACAATTGTAAAGTCTTTATTCCTTTAAAAATATTTTGCGGTATTTTTATTTGATTATCTCCTTTTTGCTAGAAGATACCTACGTTTATATAATGTATATAGAGTCAAAAAGCAGTAAAAAGTATAGTTAGCAAATTTCCAGCCAATATACGTCCCTCTTCTGAGAAAAAGACACCTCTGATTTGTGAGGTGTATAGAGCATAATAATATACTACAAAAGTCAAATTTGTAATATTTGATAAACTGAATCGACATTTATCGATATTTTACAGACACCACAACACTTAACAATTTAGGAACGACCACCATTCGTTGTCGACGTGCATTCATTTCAGATTCATTAGTGTGAATTAAGTGGTATTTGTCAAAAATTCAGTCGCAAGTGCAAAATATTTATAAAGGTTTTTTTTCTGCTTTTGTGGGCACATTTTTTAGTAAGCTTATATAGTTCGGTATATAATATTTGTCCAGTATTTTACCCGACAACGTTAAATGTCAGCACTTTTTTACGACTTGAATTTTGGGTTATCATTACCCATTCGAGTAATATAAGTGTACATTAATTATGAGTTTTATGGCTCAATAGGTAATATCTTACTTTAAAATTTTTGAGTGGGCGTTTTTAATACTATCTTTATTACATTTATTTATATATAAAAATTATAAAATCTTTTGGCTCAACTTTCCACTCCTTGGTCTTGGTTCAAGCTTCTTCTCATTCTGAGAGTTTAGTTTAGTGACTAAATTTATTAAACCATTTTAAGTGACGCCTCAAAATTTTAAAATGCAAAATTTACCTTAACATTGTCTATGTGTGTTTTTAAATTTCATTGCAATAACCAGTTAGACTTTGATTTATTTATTTAACACATAAAAAACTTACATCAACGGAAGTAATCGGTGAAAGTTTAATAGAACCACGTCAGAAACAGTAATTAAGATAAATTTCTCAAGCTATGAAATATATTTAAGGCAATATAAATTTGTTCTTGATAACTATGCTTGATTGAGGTCGCGAAATTAATCAAATTGTGCGCTTGAACAAAGACGGTAAAAATTCATCATTATTGTAACCTACAATTTCATTGTTCAACACATTCCTCATTAAAGTTCTCATCATCTGGTGCTCAGTAAAAAGGAAGTTCTAGCCGCCTCTCCGAAACAGTGAGCTTCATGTGCACAAAGCTGTAAAGCCGTCTTTGATAACACGGATTGATTAAGATCAAATCGTTAAACTCTTTTATAATTTTAATTATGTACCCACGAACTGCCGCGTGTTGACGGTATGCGAGAATCCACTACCCCTTGTTATCCCATGGGTATCATAGAAGGCGATAGAAGGAAATGAAACAGAAGATATGCTGCACATTTTCTGTCTCATCTTCCTGATAACAACTCAATGATGAAAAAAAACTGGGGTTAAAAAATTTCCTGGCATATATGTCGCTATGAGACCGTCCTTGCCTATGTTCAGCAGTAGCCTTTCCATTGGTTGTAATAAATTTAAAAAAAAAAACAATTAATTTCTACAAATATAACTCGTCAAGTTCTGTGTATTCTTCTTTGTTGCCTCCGACTGCCTCGTTCGTCTAGTGGTTGTAAACAAAGGGGTCCCGGCGTCGCACCCCGTGTCGGGCAAAAAAAAACAGTTAGACAGTTTGTCAGATTTTCTGTCAAGAAATTCTCAGTGGTCACCTGGAGTCAGAAAGTTGGCAGCTGATAGTCCTGCACCTGATCTGTCTCCAGTCGTATCGTTTTGCCGTCCCATCGGACTAAGAGAGTGAGGGAATAGAGAGTGAGAACCTGGGCAATATAAATCTGGGCAATCCTGTCCTGTCCTGATGGCTAACCTCCGTTGAGACTGGGCAACGTAACTGAAATTCGTTTTGGAGGACATTATTATTCTTCTACGTTAAAAACATTATAATAGTGAAGTTTGCTTGTGTAGAATAAATCAATGGAATTATGAAAGACATTTAATATTTTAACAAAGTTTGCCAACATTTTTATCATATGTTAGATTAGATCCGGCTATAAAATGTAAAAATGATACGCTGCCACGTGTATGATAACAATCTCAAACATACTAGTACACTCATTACATGGTAGAGCCATGCTGCAGCTATATTAGTAGTAAAGTTGTAGCACGAATGGGTCGGCTCGACCGGAGAAGGACCACGCTTTCACAGAATACTAGCGTAAAATAATAGCTCAACACTGCTGTCTTTCGTATGGTGAGTGTAGAGAACCGGAAAACTTTTATGTGAATACGAGGCATTCCATCTTAATCCTCACGGGTGACAACGCATCTACATTTTGATTCGTAACCGTGGATACATGTAGATGTCTATGGACCGCAGCAACCTCTTACCATCAGGTGGATTGTGTGCTCGCTTGTCACCCTTATCCTATAAAAAATACTATACGAAAACGTATTAACC